AAAAAAAAAAAAAAAACCTCGGCGTCTCCAGGGTGTTTCCAGTGCCATCCCTTTCCCATCGCCTTCTTGTTACTGTCTTGGCTCACAGAACAAGATAGGCATGAGCAGAGGTTTCTGATGTCACCATATCCATGTTCCCTGTGTCACTCCAACTTAGTGGCTTTCCTGCCTATTACCAAAAGCCATAAAATGAAATTTAGATCCCAGATTTGGCAGGGAGAGTTGTGTGGCCTACATTTCTTTGGTAACAGAGACCAAGGATGCCTTAAGAGAACACACCTTCACTTCACACACAGGCTGAGGGCACCATGAATATTGGCAGGTACTCTCAAAGGCATAATCTTGTGGGTCCTGGGTGACAGGGAGGGTCCTGCCCATCCCTCACTGAGACCCTCACTGAGTACTTCATGGCACTTTCATCAGGAAAGCTTGATCTCAGTGTTGTTATGACTCTGACAAAGATGGACAGGTCACCCACGGGATGCACAGAGTGTTAACCATGTGGAATTTCTTCTCACAGAAGAAAATGAAACTCCGTGGTACCAAAGATTTGTCCATTGCAGCCGTGGGGAAGTACGGGACCCTGCAAGAGTTCTCCTTCTTTGACAAGGTGAAGGTGGCCCCCTGGCGTCCATCTTGAGTGTGCCAGTTCAACTGGCTGGCCCAATGCTCCCTGGGCCCACCCCCTTCCAGGCAGGCCTTGCCAAGCTCAGTCTGGAGCAGGCACGGCCAGGAAGGGGGCCTGGGCCCCAGCTCTGCCCAGAGAAGTGGAGTGTGAGCCCTCATAGAGCAGAGTTACACATTATGGTGGGCAGAAGGTCATAGAAGGGGAAAGGCAGAGCTGAGAGTTCGAGCAGGGTTTGAAGACATACATGTCTGCCACTCTTTAGCTGTGTGACTTTTTCTAAATCTGGGATGGTCCTGGGACTCCTGCCCAGAGCCCATGGGCAGATCAGGCAAGATGACTGCATGCAAATGCTATCAGAGCCCAACCTGAGAGTTGCTGCACAGACACTTTTGCTGACAGACCACAGCTGGTTTCTCTAGAGCATTCCCGTGTTGGTGACTTGTAATCAAACTTCTCCAGGGAACTGAGGAGCAGGGGTTCACAGCGGCCCCCTAACATGCTCTCTCCATAGGTCCGCAGGGTGCTGAAGAGCCAGGAGGTGTATGAGAACTTCCTCCGCTGCATCGCACTCTTCAACCAGGAGCTGGTGTCCGGCTCTGAGCTCTTGCAGCTGGTCAGCCCGTTTCTAGGGTGAGTGACTGACTTCCCAGGGCTCCGCAGGTGGGTTTTGTTTTTGTAAACTCCGTCCATCTTGTTTTTAGTAATTGTTTTGAAAAAGTTATATATGCTGCTTTTGATCTTGTTTATTAATTGAAAATGTTAATGAGATAATTATAGATTCACATGAATTTATAGGAAGGGATACAGTGAAATCTTGGGTACCCTACACCTCATTCCTTTAAGGGTAACATCCATAGTCAGTATCATGACCTGGATGTAGCAGGTCCTCCAATAACATGGTTTCATTCAATGTTGTTTTGTTAAACAATGAGAAAAAAAAATAGATTCCTGGCCAGGCCACTGTCTGTGTGGAGTTTGCATATTCTTTCTATATCTGTGTGGGTTTTCTCTAATGCTTGGTTCCCTGCCGTATCCCAGAACTATGCATGTTATGTGTCTAAATGGTCCCAGTCTGTGTGGGTAGGTGTGACCGGATGACATCCTTTCCAGCAGCTGGTGCCCTGAACTGCCATGATAGGCTCTGGGCATCCAAGACCCTAAACTGGATTAATTAGGTAAATCATTATTTTATTTTCATTCATCTTTCTTAACTGTATACATATTTTTTTCAATGTTTAGTATTATGAGTGCTTTGGTCTTTATGGAAAAGTTTGGTGATGTTGTTCTGACTAGAAATGTGCTGTAGGAACTTTATTCTTCTTTCTTTTGAGACTGAGCCTTACTCTGTTGCCCTGGGTAGAGTGCTGTAGCATCATAGCTCACAGCAAACTCCTGGGCTCAGGTGATCCTCTTTGCTTCAGCTTCCTGATAGCTGGGACTGTAGGCTCCTGCTGTGATACCCAACTAGTTTTTTCTATTTTTAGTAGAGACTGGGTCTCGCTCTTGCTCAGGCTGGTTTTGAACTCCTGAGCTCAGGTGATCCACCTGCCTTGGCCCCCCAGAATGCTAGGATTACAGCTGAACTCTGCTCTTCTTGATGTCAATTAACCTGTGGTCAGATTGGTTTCATTATGCTTATTTTGATTAAAGTTAGTTTCTAAGAACCTGTCAACAATGTTAAGTGAGAACCTACTGTGCTGACACTTATGTAACCCACAGATCTTTTTAAATTCCCATTTTACTTATACTTGTTTGTGTGTGTGTGTGTGTGTGTGTGTGTGTGTGTATATATATATATATTTTTTGGGGGGGGGAGACAAGAGTCTTACTTTATTGCCCTTGGTAGAGTGCTGTGGTGTCACAGCTCACAGCAGCCTCCGCCTCCTGAGTAGCTAGGACTACAGGCACCTGGCACAACACCCAGCTATTTTTTTTTTGTTTGCAGTTTGGCCAGGGCTGGATTCGAACCTACCACCCTTGGTATATGGGGCCAACGCCCTACCCACTGAGCCATAGGTGCCACCCAGTGCATATATATTTTTATACCATGTTCTCACCGTGGAGGTTTTTCCATCTACTATAGCCAAGATACAAAACTGCCCCAGCACCACGAGGGGCCTTGCATTGACCTTTTGTTTCTATCCCCAAAACCCTGCCTCAACTCGATTCTGTCTCACACCCCTGGCAACCACTCATATGGTTTTCATCTTGAAAATTTATGTAATAAAATTGTTGCATGAATGGAACCACAGAGGAGATAGCCTTCCTAGATGGGGTTTTTTTCACCTAGCAAAAACATTCTAACACTTGGAAATTGGATCCCTGTTGCACAGAGAGCAGCTTCCTTAGTGGGAGGTGGCTCCAGCACCTGGTGACCAGGGCAGCTGAGGAGGTGCCTGGCAGGCACAGGAGCGAGGGGGCACCTGTGCAGCACGTGCATCTACCCTCGGGGTCACCAGACTGGGTGAGCATGTGAATTGAAAATCAGTGGTGTATCTGCCTGCGGTTCCTAAGAGCTCTTGGGGGCGGCTCTTAAAATAGCATCTCACAAAAAATAAAGGAAAAGATTTCTTCAGGCAGAAGGAAATGATGTAAATTATAAACTTTGGTCTGCCTAAAGAAAGGAAGAACGGGTTGAACTGAGCTCATCAGGTGTTTCCCTGGTGGTCCTGATTACTTGCATATGTTGGGATGATCTTTTCACTGGGTTCATTTTCCTGGGCTGGTGAAGATCTTCAGAGTTGCCCAGAGCAGGATGGCCATGTTGCAGGCTCAGCTCAAATGCTGCTAACTTTTCACACAGATGTGGAATGCTCATTGATGACAAGGAGTCTCTGCTGAGCTCAGAGGCCAAGAATCTCTGAGCTAGTTCCTGCCTAGGGAATTAGGCTGCTGTTGGGGAAGATGGCAGGTGAGGGGCCTGTATGCACAGCAGGTGTCAGCTCCTGGGCCTGAGAAGGGTGTGCATGGCCACCAGGATTGGAATTGGGACTCTGCTTCTTACTAGCAGAGCAAGCCTCTAGTTTCTCCATTTTATAAAGCGCCCACACCACCCTCCCAAGCGTTTGGGTGGGGAATAGAATATATAAGGAATGTGAGATGCAAGATGCTAAGCAGATGGGCAGCTATTCCCATTTTGGTGTTTAAGTGGTAGTGAGAGATGTGTTTGGGGAGGGAGTTTGTATGGAACAAGATCCAGAAATAAAGATTTGTCCTCACCTTAACATGATTCCTCATTGAGTTAGGAACATTTGCCTTTGTGGGACCTTGTTTGTGTGCAAGCTTCAGTCCAGTGGGCAACTGAGCATGGCCCAGGGAGCTGCCAGCTGCATGTGGTAGCCACACAGCTGGACTTGGGGCAGATCAGGTTAAGCATCACCTTCAGCGTGGTCCCAGTTTGCATCTATCCTAGAATTAACCTCAGGCATCCTCTGTACCATTTGTTGTTGTTATTGTTGCTGTTGTTGTTTGGAGACAGAGTCTCACCCTTTTGCCTCGGCTAGAATGCCATGGCATTAGCCTAGCTCACAGCAACCTGAAACTAATTCCTCCTGCCTCAGCTTCCCGAGTAGCTGGGACTACAGGTGTATGCCACCATGCCTGGCTAATTTTTCTATTTTACGTAGAGATGGGGTCTCACTCTTGCTCTGACTGGTCTTGAACTCCAGAGCTCAAGTGATCCTCTTCCCTTGGCCTCCCAGAGTGGTAGAATGACAGGTGTGAGCCACTCTGTAGTGTTTTTGTTGATGTCTCTTCTCCCTACATTTCCATTTGCTTGAGAGTTTTCCTTGGGGCAGAGTTCATGTGGGGTTCTTACAGATGGGGGGAAGCAGACTGTCCTGTCACTGAGGAGGATGTTGTTACTGAGGGAAAGGTCACCTGGCAGGTCAAAGTAGGATCAGTGCAGCAACAGGCAAAGTAACTTGTACCCTTTTTGGTAGGATTGGATTTTTTTTTTTTTTTTTTTTTTTTGACGTGGGGTCTTACTGTGTTACCTAGGCTGGCCTCAAACTCCTGGGCTCAAGCAATCTTCCTGCTTCAGTCTTTCGAGTAGTTGGTACTACAGGGGTGTGCCACTAGATCTGATATTATTTTAAACAGAGATCAAGGTGACATTGGGCTTGGTTACCTGCTGGTTAACATGCATGGTCATGACATGACTCTTAAGAATGTGTCCACAGAGGGGTTTACAGGGGAGGAGTGTCCCTCAAGTGGCCCCAGGAGTAAGCAAACTTGATCTGTGAAGATGCAGTTTCTGTGGGAATTACTTAGCTCTGTTTGTGTCATGTAAGCAGCTGCAGGAAGTATGTAAATGAGTGGACACAACTCTGAGCCAATAAAGCTTTATTTACAAAAAGAGGCTGTGGGCAGATTGGCCATCGTTTGCCATTCCTGGCCTAAGGCCTGTCCTCTTCCACTCAAGGAATGTCACTGACCCTAGATTCCTGCCATTGCCTTCTGGAGCCCCAGCTTCTGCCAATTTAGGTTACCTTTTCCAATGTATTTCAAGGCCTTCCTGTAAGTGGCGGGGTCTTTAGCCACAGGAAGGGGCCAGGGACCTGATTGGTGATACAGGGGTAGGGGACCGATTCACTCACACACCTGGGGACTTAATGACTTTACATGCAGCTTAATGCTTGGTTCTGCCTCTTGGTCCCTCTGTGGTATTGAATTCTGACTCTCTTTAACCTTGAGTGTCTACTTGAAATCTCTAGCGCCCTCTCAGAAGGTCCTGTGGATGCCACCTTAACTTTTGTCTTTATTTTTAAAGGAAATTTCCAGAACTCTTTGCACAGTTCAAGTCCTTCCTGGGAGTAAAAGAACTGTCCTTTGCACCACCCATGAGCGACAGATCCGGGGATGGAATAAGCCGAGAAATCGACTATGCATCTTGCAAGCGCATTGGATCCAGTTACCGGGCACTCCCCAAAACCTACCAGCAGCCCAAGTGCAGTGGGAGGACAGCCATCTGCAAGGAGGTAGTGCTCCCCACCCAACACCTGTTGCCCCTGTACCGTGGATCAAAGACCAAATGTTGGATAATGGGTGGTTCTTGGATGTGGCCCAATAAAAGTCTATCTGAGCAGAGACACCGGTGTCATATCTGCAGGTAGTTGTGGCAAAACATAGAGCACATGTTGACAGTGTGGAGTTTGGTGTAGTCCTTTGTTATTAGACATAGGTTTATTGCTGCCATGATCTGCTCTGTCCCAGGCTCACCGACCTCAGTATGTTTTTGTTCAGCTTGACCATTGGACCTTTTTCAGGGTTCATGGACAGATGATTACTGCATGTCCAGAATTTAAGAGTACCTGTTGGATTCTAAGATGTATTATAGGGATCACCAAACTATGTCCTGTGGGCCCTGGCCCATTGCATATGTTTATTGGCACATATCCACAACCAGCCATTTACATATTGCCTGTGGCTGCCTTCTCACTGACTGCAAAGGCTGAGAGTTGAGCCAGTAAAGCCTAAGATACTTGTTAACCAGGCCCTTTACAGAGCAAGTTTGCCAACTGAAGTGCAGTTGGGCCTTAGTACCCCCTGGTTCCACATGCGCAGATTCAATCAACCTTGGACTGAAAATATTTGGGAATAAAAAAAGAACGTAACAAAAATAATTCAAAATTTTTTTAAAAACCTATACAGTATAGCTACTATTTACATAGATAGCATTTGCATTGTAATAGGTACTATAAGTAATCTAGAAGTGATTTAAAATATATGGGAGGTTGTAGGTTTTGTGCAAATACTGAGCCATTTTGACAGCAGAGATTTGAATATCCAAGGATTTTAGTATCTGAGGAGGTCCTAGAACCAATTCTCTACAGATACCTCTAGTGTAACATGTTCACATGACAGAAGTCATGTTTTCACTTAAAAACTTTAAAGTTAATCTTGCCGTTTGTCATTGCCTGTAACATAATCAGGATGACATTACACGTCTTCCACACTGGAAAGCAGCATGGACATTTGGGGCCTGCCGCACCATCATGGCATTTCTTCTTGATGCAGGTACTGAATGACACCTGGGTCTCCTTCCCCTCCTGGTCAGAGGACTCTACCTTCGTCAGCTCCAAGAAGACCCCCTATGAAGAGCAGCTGCATCGCTGTGAGGACGAGCGTTTTGAGGTGTGTGTGCTGATGCATCCAGGCCTCCAAGTAACCCTGGGGCCTCACTAAACATGTGTCTGTCCCCTCTTCCATCAGACACATTCTGATCGTCCTCCCCCCACCTCCCAGGCACCTTTGGAGGAACAGGGATTCCAGCAGGGGGCAGCTTCCAGAAATACACTAATTCTGCCTAGACCTTGCTATAGGGCTAGCTGTAGGATGGCTGTTTCTGTTTGTTTTTGAAGTTTTAAAATTAGTTTATTTAATTACTTTTTTAATTGAACTTTTTTTTTTACTGTTATTTGCATTTATTTTATGTTACATCTATTCCCATGCCATAAGTTTTTGTTTCTTCAGTTTCTTCTGGGATATCTTTTTCTTCTGTGCTGCCTCCTCTGGTTTGGGAATAATTTGTTCCTTTTCAGTAAGGATCATCTCGATGTGGCAGGGGGAGCTCATGGATGGGCTAATGTGACCGTGAGCTCTGTAAGTTTGGTGACACATCTTAGGTACTTTGTTCACTTGGATATGTTGGATGACCAGAGAATCTACATCTAAACCCTTAAGTTCAGCATTACCCTCTGCATTTTTAAGCATATGCAGCAAAAATTCAGCACTCTTTTTGGTGTCCAGCCCCGCTGTTTGGCCTGGGCACACCTACCAACTCCACCATTGTAACAGAGAAATCGTATACACTGTTTCTTTAAGTGACATCCTTCAGATACTTGAAAGATGTTTTTCATATATGCACACCCTTGATGGCCTGGGCAGTTTCACATGTGTTCATAAAGTGAACAGGAAGATTTGAGCCTCTTGACTTGCATGACTTTGTGGGGTTTTCTGGGTCAAGTGAATAGTGAACCATTTTCACAGATCATCTCTGACAGCTTAGGGGAATAAGCTGAATTTTTTTTTTTTGAGCAAGAGTCTCACTGTGTTGCTCAGGCTAGGGTACCATGGTGTCACCCTATCTCACAGCAACTTCCAATTCCTGGGCTCAAGCAGTCCTCTTGCCTCAGCCTCCCAAGTAACTATACAACAGGTGCCTACCACAACATCATCTAGTTTTCCTTTAGTAGAGACACGGGGTCTCGCTCTTGCTCAGGATGGTCTTAAACCCCTGGGCTCAAGCAGTCCACCCACCTCAGCCTCCCAGAATGCTAGGGTTACAAGTGTCAGCCACCTACTGGTAGTTGTGACAAAACATAGAGCACGTGTTGACAATGTGGAGTTTGGCATGTTTAATAATGGCCTTAATTGAAGTTTTTATTGAGATTATCGTAAAGTCACATGCAGTATAAGAAATAGCACAGAGAGATCCTGGGTCCGATCACTTTTCCCAGGGATAACACCCTGAAGCTCTTGGTACAGTGTCACTCCCTGAGGTATTGATACTGCTGCAACCTGCTGAGCTCAGTTAGATTCCCCAGTTTGGCTTGGACTTGGGTGTGTGCATGTGTATGTGATGTGTGTGCTGTGTATTTAGTTTTGTGCTGTCTTATTACCCGTGGGAGTTTGTGCCTCCATCACCAGAGTTGTAGCTGGGCACAGTGCCTGTAATCCTAGCACTCTGGGAGACTGAGACAGGTGGATTTCTTGAGCTCAAGAGTTTGAGACCAACCTGAGAAAGATTGAGACCCTGTCTCTACTAAAAATAGAAAAACTAGCTGGGCATTGTGGTGGGCACCTATAGGCTCAGCTACTCAGGAGGCTGAGGTAAGGGGATCTTTTAAACTCAGGAGTTTGAGGTTGCTGTGAGCTAGGCTGTTGCCATGACACTCTACCCAGCGTAATGGGGTGAGTCTCTCTCGTAAAAAAAAAAAAAAAAAAGTCATTAGAGTTGAGATCCAAAGCAGCCCCAGCCCTACTCAGGTGCCTCATGCTGGAACCACATCAGCCTCCCTCACGCTCCTGCCTTATCCCTGACCCACTGGCCTCTTCCCCAGGACATAACTTTTTGGGATTGGCATTCCTCCCAGCATGGTGGCCTCATGCGTTACTGCAGGGCTGTGTATACCATGTGTCCCATCCTTTGAATGCTTTGGAAGACAGTGGGGGCCCATATCCCTCCTCAGATGGGGCCATTGTTCTGGCTTCCAGATGCTTCTTCTGTGGTGGGTGGCTGAGGGTCTTGGTTGGTGGTGCCATCATCCTCCAGAGCCACCTATGTTCACCTGAGCCCTCGTTAGGACTACTGCTTTCAGACATCTCTGGGGTCCCCTGAGACCTCAGCAGCTGACTTCTTCCTGCCTGTCTTCCAACACAGTTAGATGTTGTCCTGGAGACCAACCTGGCTACCATCCGGGTCTTGGAGAGCGTGCAGAAGAAGCTCTCTCGGATGGCACCGGAAGACCAAGAAAAGTTCCGACTTGATGACTCTTTGGGCGGCACATCAGAGGTGATTCAACGGCGTGCCATCCACCGAATCTATGGTGACAAGGCCCCAGAGATCATTGAGAGCCTCAAGAAGAACCCTGTCACCGCTGTCCCTGTCGTCCTGAAAAGGTATCCTGTGATGTTCAACCACCCCACCCCTAACCCCTAACTTGCCACAGGGAAACCCCCCCACCCCCACCCCGGGAGCTCATTATGCTGTTTGTCAACAGGTGCCATCTTGAGGAGCATCCTCAGGGCCGCAGGCTGGCTCATTGTGCATCCCAGTTCCCCTCTTGTCCTGAGAGGAGGAACATTGACCTTCTAGGACCTTCCATGATGCACATAATCACAGTCATATCTAGACATGTCAGTAACTACTGTAAAACACAAAGGGGACCACTTTGCACCACAGTTTGCTTTTTATTTAGTAGAACATTTCAGCACCATCCCATGCTAGTGAACAGGTATTTATTGGATGGCTGCCTTCAGGCAGGCACTGTGCTCAGCCCCGGGGTTACTGAGCTGAGCAAGACAGACCCAGTCCCTTCCCTCTCAGAGCTTGGAGCAAGAGAGCTAGATGGTTGTGTCAACAGCTACCTATAGTGTCCTGGGTGCCAGGGAGGAGATGGAGAAACTGTGAAACCAGTCTCGTTAGCTCTGTAAGCCCTCCCCACCTCTCTCCCTCCCTCTGTCTTTGACTTGGCACAGACAGGCTGGGGGTTGTCTGTTCACAGTCAAGTCCCAGAGGAAGACAGGCTAGTCCTGTGCAGCCTGTTTTGAAAAGGGCACCCTGGATTGTCCTGGTGCTAAGCTCCCCTTGCCTCCCTAGGCTAAAGGCCAAGGAGGAAGAATGGCGGGAAGCCCAGCAGGGCTTTAACAAGATCTGGCGGGAGCAGTACGAGAAGGCATACCTCAAGTCCCTTGACCACCAGGCTGTGAACTTCAAGCAGAATGACACCAAGGCCCTGCGCTCCAAGAGTTTGCTCAATGAGATCGAGAGTGTCTATGATGAGGTAAGGTGCCCCCTGCCCTGAGGTCTAGGCAAGTTGGGACAGGGTCCTGGTTCTCTCTGCCACCATGGGCAGGTTACTGGGTCTCTGCTTCCATTTCCCCTATAGTCAGGAAGGGTTGGTGGCATCTCCCAAGCAGGGCTGTGTCAAGGTGAAAGGCCAGCCGTGACTATAGTTGTCCAGAAAGGCTCTCTCCCTCCCTCCCACACTGGGTGTTGATGGACTTTGGCTTAGGTGACTGGGTAGCAGCAGCCTTCGTTTCTGTATTGGTGACTGTCCCAGACACCTGTCAGCGCCTCAGAAGGAACATTTCATCCAATCTCGCTCATAAGCCGTACTGTGCAGTACCATAGTCTTGATTTTACCTTGGGGAAACTGAAGCACAAGAGGTTGCACTTGCCAAGGCCAATCATAGGGACCAGAGTTCTGAACCAGACGCTCCAATGAGTGTCTGAGCCTGGGGCCTTGCTTCCTGCCTTGTGCCCTCTTGGCAGGTTCAGCCTGTTCAAGGCTCCCAGGGCCTGAATCACAGAATTGAGATGAGCTGGGCCCTGGGGTTTCACAGATTTGAGCCTTTTAACAAACACTTATAGGGAGTTGCTTGCTGGAGCCTGAGGTGAGGAGCTTGGTAGGATGTAATGGTCTCTGGACCAGGAAATAGACGGCTGCTATAGAAGTCAATGGGGGCCTGAGGAACTGGCCAGTGCCCAGATCATGGATGGGGAGCGCACATTGTTGCCCTAGGTACCCACCAGGGCATGCAGCATCCCCACACTTTGTGTCCCTTATTCTTCACATAACTGTGCAGCAAACGTGTGTACCTCCTCTTACAGCTCAGAAATTGAAGACACAGGAGCCAGGCTGCTGGTCCAGACCTTCTGGCTTGCAGGTGGCACAGCTGGGCAGGCCAGTCTCTGTCCAGAGTTTGCATGAGGGACCCCCTCCCTTCCCACTGCGCTCACCCCTACAGGGCCCTGGGCCTGTCCCATGAGCCATCTGGTTTCCTCACACTGGTCCTCGGTTGATCCCTAAGACCACCCCCAAAGGGTCTATGGCACACATATCTGCAAGACCGATGATGCAGCCTTGAAACCCACCAATAGTATTACCAAGTTCCTTGGTCTCCCAGAGGGTGAGGGTGCTGAGGGGGGCACAGCCAGGCTGGTGGGTCTCTGCAGGTGCAGGCCGCAGTGCATCCAGAGGCAGACCCTCATTCTATCACGTGGTCTGCAAAGCATGGTTACAACCACCTACACTGGACTCTGCTTCAGAGAGGACTTTAGGAGAATTTTGAGGGTGTTTGTGCCATAAACGAGACATGTGAGATTTAGGAAGTGATGAGGGGAGTGCAGGTCACTGAAGAGCCAGGAGCTGCCTGTGGTCACCAACCTTGCAGACCTCTGTGGACCAGTTCAGTGTGCCTGAGCCCTGCAGGCAAGACAGAAAGGACACCTAGAAAAAATACATTTAATTAAGGAGTATAGCCTGTGCTGAAGAGGCTTGACTCGTCTACCTCAGAAAGCTGAGGTGCCAGCTGGCGGTGGCAGGGGGCCCTCCTCAGTTTTCATTCTGTAGGTGGCAGTGCCTGGGGTCTTAGTTGTCTTGGGAATCACCCAGGCAGAGTTGTCAGGGTGATTGCTCCTGTTGGCTAAATCGTTTTGGACCTGAGTTGAGAGGGTTAGAAGGGGCTGGTGAATGGAACCAGGTAGGGGAGGCCGGTGATGGTGACAGCAGGATGTGGAGGGGCTAGTAGAGGGTAGGGAATGGACAAGGCAGAAGGTTGAGGGGTGGTGTTAGTGATGGAGCAGATGTGGAGGGCTGGGTACCAGGCTCCACTTGTGTGCAGTCACAGGCCTTCTGGAGAGCCGCTGAGCATCTGAACTAAGGACACAGAGGCCTGCGGTCTGTCCTGAGCCTCCCTGGCCCGAAGGGAGAGCTTGGTCTGGGCAACCTGTGGTCAGTGGAATCAGAGGTGCTGGTTATTGGTTTGGTAGTGGGGGCTCAGCCTTGTTGGAGGCGTCTCTGGTGGAACGCCACAGCAGGAGCCCCTCTGGGCGTGTTCTATCCCAGAGCTAGGCTGAGCCCAAGTGCTCCCCTCAGCATCCCCAGCTCTGCCATCTGAGGTCCTGTGGTGCCTTGGGGCTGCCTTCCATTTTTGGAGGAGACTGGGAACATGACCAAGGGATCAAAGCAAATGATCCTCCTCCCCTAGACTTTGCTATTTCACCTCATAGTTGTCATTCGCCCCTCTCTGGACAACACATGTCCACTTGCTCACAGCGATCTGTGGGCAGGTGTGTGGGAGGGTCCCCTTGGGGCTGGATCACCTCCCACCTAATAGGCACCCCATCCCCCTGCAGCACCAGGAGCAGCACTCAGAGGGCCGGAGCGCCCCCTCCAGTGAGCCGCACCTCATCTTTGTGTACGAGGATCGGCAGATCCTAGAGGATGCAGCAGCCCTCATCAGCTACTATGTGAAGCGACAGCCGGCCATCCAGAAGGAGGACCAGGGTACCATCCACCAGCTGCTGCACCAGTTTGTGCCCAGCCTCTTCTTCTCCCAGCAGCTGGACCTGGGTGCATCTGAGGAGTCAGCCGATGAAGACCGGGACAGCCCCCAGGGGCAGGGCGCAGACCCTGGAGAGCGGAAAAAGCCAGTGCCTGGGCCACAGAGCAGTCCCCCAGAGGAGAAGGGGGCTTTGGGGGATGTGCCAGCTGCTGAGCAGCCTCCACCACCACCACCGCTGCCACCGCACAAGCCCCTGGACGATGTCTATAGCCTTTTCTTTGCCAACAACAACTGGTACTTCTTCCTGCGGCTGCACCAGACCCTGTGCTCAAGGCTGCTGAAGATCTACCGCCAGGCACAGAAGCAGCTCCTGGAGTATCGGACCGAGAAGGAGCGGGAGAAGCTGCTCTGTGAGGGCCGCAGGGAGAAGGGCAGTGACCCCGCCATGGAGCTGCGACTGAAGCAGCCCAGTAAGGCATCCACAGCTGCTGTAGGCTCCGGGTCAGAGTTCCTGATCCGAGTTGTCCTGCTTTCTTTTCTGATTTTTTATTTCATAGTAATTATATAATTGGAAATGGGAAGTTAAGAGCATAAGACAGGGGTCCCCAAGTACCTCTTACCCAGTATGAGAGTAGGAGGTCACCTTACCGAGTGGTGACGCCTTTCCTACATGTAGCAGCTATCCAGCCAACCTTCCCTGAGTGTGTAAAGCCACCATGCCCAGCTGTGTGGCTTTCTGGTTGCCATTCCTTAGTCACAAGGCCATGCACACAAGTATTCTGGCAATTCCAGATTTGTCCCACGGGTGGCCAGCGAGGGCCAGTGTGAGTTTCTTGGGGCCCTGAGGTGCGGGGGCTTGGCTTGTGCATATTCTCACCCCACTAGGAGAAGAGTGAATGAAAGCCACACTGCTCCCGTCGCTCCCCCCCCCCCCAGGTGAGGTGGAGCTGGAGGAGTATTACCCAGCCTTCCTGGACATGGTGCGCAGCCTGCTGGAGGGCAGCATCGACCCCACCCAGTACGAGGACACCTTGCGGGAGATGTTCACCATCCATGCCTACATCGGCTTCACCATGGACAAGCTGGTGCAGAACATTGCACGGCAGGTGAGCAGGGCCAGTCCCCTTGTGCCTTGGTGGGGTTTGCCTTTCAGGAGGCTGGAAATCGGCCCTTCCTGCACACCCAGGCTGGGATGGGAGCTCCATGCTTAGCACAGCACACCTTTCCTTTTTTTCTCTATTAAGCTATAATTTACATAATGTGAGATTTTTTGAAGTATGTAATTCTGTAGCATTTGGTATATTCACAGTGTCATGTAGCCACCTCCTCTGTCTAGTTCTGGAACATTTTCATCACCCCAAAGGGAGATCCCATCCCCATTAGCAGTCACTCTCTACTGCTGCTCCTCCAGCCTCTGGGAGCCACTGATCCACTTCCTGTCTCTGGATTTGCCCCTTCTGGACATTTCCTATCAGTGGAGTTACACATGTGACTTTTGGAGTTTGGCTTTTTTTACTCTGTGTCCTGTTTTTAAGGTTCATCCCCCTTGTATAGATCAGTGCTTCATTCCTTTCTATGGCTGGATAATATTCTGTTGCACAAATATGTTACATTTTGTGTATCTATTATTCATGTGCAGAGATTGTGAATAGTGCAGCTGTGAACATTTGTGTCCAAGTTTTTGAGTTGCTGTTGACAAACCTTTTCTGTGGTTGACATTGACAACATGTAAAAAACTTGAACCCACATTTCCTATGGAAGGGGAATAGAGTGGGGATCAGAAAATTGATCCTAGCTGAATGTCAACAAGAGGAAACTGGTCACATAAAATATGAACACGAAAGCCCCAGGCAAGCCAGGTGTGGTCCCAGGACACGGGTGCTGCTTGGTTTCTGCGGGTGCTGCTTGGTTTTTGCTGCAATCACAAGTTTTGTTTCCTGGTCACCAAGTAAGGCTGTTTATCATAAAGCAGGAAAAAGCAATAATGCCATTACTCTCCCACCTAGATGCAATCATAAGAAATGTTTTGGAAAAGACATTTCTTTCCAGATTTGAAAGACTGTTTACAAAGTTAATACAGATGTGCATTAAAGTACCCAAATTCAAAGTGGGCATTGTGGTGGGTTTTCAAAAACAACCTCCCTGCCACACCACCCTGTCTTCCCTCTCAGCCATCCCCTCATCTGTGGGCACCCACTACCCTAATTCCTGCACTGAAGTAGCTTCCCCGGTCTTGAGCCATGTATAAACAGAAGTACACCATGTCTGGCTGTGTCCCAGAACTGTCTTTCTCTGAGACTGTATTTCAATGCTCACGCCTGCCAAGGATTCCTGGGAACGAAATGCAGTTTGTTCACTGGCCTTCTGAGGCCGGACGTGGATGGTACCCCATGCAGTGAGCCTCCTGCTGGACGTCTATGTGTGTATGTGCCTCTGCCCCTGGGGTGAGGTGCAGGCAGATGTGTCTAGCCCCAGAGGAGTCACCCAGTTTTGTGGTTCACTCCCACCAATAGGAGGCAAGACCACACTCTCCTTACCTGTGGTCATCTTTCCTTCTGGGGATTGGTGGGGTCTCATTGGGGTTCCAGTTACATTTCTTGATGGCTCATGTGGTTGAGGCCTTGTCATCCCCATGTGGTCCTCGGGACACCATAGCCTGTAGCAAACTGTTCTATTGAGACTGCCCTGTTGCCATTGATGGCTAGGAGCCCGGTGTCTCTGGCCACAAAGACTTATCAAAACACACAGCTGTGTCTTGGCATCTTCTCTTTCCTTATATGTGCCAGGAATGTTCCCTCCCCCACACGTGCACTCCACCCAGGTGATGGAGAAACTGGCACAGGGCAAACTGGAGAGGATTCCCAGGGAGCTGCACGGGGTTGGGGGCTAAGCATTATGCCATATCTCCCTGAATATCTCCTCTAGAAATTGTTAAAAAGAAAAACAAAGAAAAAGGAGCTATTTAGCTGGTGCTACAGTCAGGGCCTGAAGCTGCCTTGCTGTGGCTCTACCAAACCCCTGAGCCAGGTGCTTACATAGGGCCCATCCTTGCTGACGTTTGTAACCAGCCTTGTTTTTTTGTTTGTTTGTTTTGGTTTTTGAGACAGAGTCTCACTTTGTTGCCCTTGGTAGAGTGCCATGGTGTCATAGCTCACAGCAACCTCAAACCCTTGGGCTTAAGTGATTCTCTTGCCTTAGCCTCCGGAGTAGCTGGGACTACAGGTGCCCGCCACAATGCCCGGCTGTTTTTTAGAGATGGAGTCTCACACCTGCTCAAGCTGATCTCAAACCTCTGAGCTCAGGCATTCCACCCACCACGGCCTCCCAGAGTGCTGGAATTACAGGCATGAGCCACGGTGTCTGGCCTGTAACCTGCCTTGTTAAAGTTGTGTCTGACACTTTATCTCACTATTTCTTAAGACTCAGCATTTCTGGTTGGTAGCAATAGCAGCTGGTATTTATTGTGTACCTACCATGTGCCAGGCACTGTTTTTAACCTAGGCATGTCTTTCAGGTCTTTTCCACACAGTTCTCATACCCAGATAGGGTTTGCAAGACTGGTCCTGACTGGCTTGGTCTGGCCCAGTCTAGTTTGGTCTGTTCTCATTTGATCTGGTTTGATCTGGTCTGTACACGGTTCTGAGATCAACCTAGGTAGACTGTTGTGATCCTGACCTTCATCCCCACGTCACAGACTCTCCATCCTACCGAGTTCCAGGCCTTTGCTAACTTTCTCTTTGGATGAGGTAGGGGCTCCAGCAGGAGGTGGGTGGTGGGCATCCACTGCTCTCCCTCTCCTCCAGCTGCACCACCTCGTGAGTGATGACATCTGCCTGAAGGTAGTGGAGCTCTACCTGAACGAGAAGAAGCGGGGGGCTGCTGGCGGGAACCTGTCCTCTCGCTGCGTCCGCGCTGCCAGGGAAACCAGCTACCAGTGGAAGGCTGAGCGGTGCATGGCCGACGAGAACTGCTTCAAGGTGAGAAGTTGGCTGCACTTGGACACATGCTGAGCCAGGGGAGATGATGTGGGAGCGAGTGTGAGCAGTCTGAGGAAGCATCCCCATCCCAGCCACAGCAGGGAAGAGCCAGCCACTCACACCCCACTCTGAAGTCAGGCCTGGGCTGCACTCTGGTTCAGCTGCTGGAGGGCCTCAGTCCTGCAGGGAGACCTCAGGGCCTCAGAGAAATAGGGTCCTAGTGCCCTTGCACTCTGACCCTCTGACTGGCTAGGCTGTTCCAGTTTAGGTTGCTTGTGTCCCCTGTCCCCCACAGGTGATGTTTCTCCAGCGCAAAGGGCAGGTGATCATGACCATTGAGCTCCTAGACACCGAGGAGGCCCAAACAGAGGACCCTGTGGAAGTCCAGGTGATGTCATAAGCACACCATTGGTGGCGGAGGCAACCAAGGGCAGCAGCATAGGCTCCCATCCAGAGGGCCCTCCACCTGCTAGCCAGGCACAGACCACAGCATCTACTCAGAGAACTCTCACTTTGGGTTGAATTCTCTCCTTTGGGAGCCCAGTAGGATGGGGAGTTGCCTCTCTCCCTGCCTCTGTAGGGCTTCCGCCTGCACTTGGTCTCCAAAGAGCAGATGACCCCTTAGGAGCCAGCAGGTGTATCAATGAAGGTGAAGTGAGAACCATGCTGCCTCCTTGCCTGCCCTGGCCCCCAACCCGTGCTCCAGGGCATCCCCAGGGCTTGCGCCCCCTGCACTCCCTGTATCTGTTGCTATCAGCTTAGCATTCCAGCTCCCAATCACCAGGTGATGACCCGTACTCCAAATCACACATTCCACATGGATAGATGTTTCCCCGCTCGCCTCCCCCACCCTGGTGACAGACTTGTGCAAGTCCCCAGGGCAGTCACGGAGGCAGCTGGGGGGAGGGTCTTTGCCCAGCCCTCATCATACCCCTCTTTCTCTCTTCCCATGGCTCCTACTTGCCTTGGCCTCTCATGTAATCTGCCAAAAGGTCCCACCTATGTGCATGTCACTCATTTCCTGGGGCTGACATGGCAGATGATCACAAACATGACTTGAAACAACAGGAATTGATGGTTCTGGAGGCCTGGAGGCCAGAACTCCAGAGTCAAGGTGTTGACTCTCAGGCTCTCGTCTTTTTTTCCTACCTTTTCCAGCTTCTCGTGACTCCAGGCATTCCTTGTCCATAGCTGCATCACTCCAATCTCTGCCTCTGTGTCCATGTGGGCTTGCTGTGTATTTCTATAATTCTTTTCTTATAAGAACATTAGTTATTAGATTTAGGGCTCACTCCATGATGGACTCATCTTAACTAATTATATCTGCAGAGACTTTATAGGTACCTATTCATAGGTACTAGAGGTTAGGATTTGAACATGTATCTCTTTTTAGAGGATGCTGTCTACCCCACTGTAGTGACTTAACTCGTCTCAACTGGCAACCACCAAAATTCCTGTGTGCAGAGAACCACTTCAGAGCAGGAGGGTGGGTCTCCCTACACGTAGCTGCCTTACAACCTTTCTTGGAGCCCAGTTGTCTGTAAACAATTAAGTACACCAAAAATATAATTGCTGGGGCCGGGCTTACATCTGTAATCCCAACACTTCGGGAAACTGAAGCAGGAGAATTGGTTAAGACTAGGAGTTTGAAAACAGTCTGGGCAACATAGCAAGACCTCTTGTCTGTACCCCTCCTCCCTCCCAAAATTAGCCAGGTGTGATGGCACCTATAGTCCCAGGTACTGAGAAGCCTGAGGAGGGAGGATCACTCGAGCCCAAGACTCGGAGACTGCAGCAAGCTATGATTGTGCCACTGCACTCCAGCCTAGGTGACAGAACAAGACTCTGTGTCTCAGAAACAAAAAGAAAGAAAGTTATTTTTGCTGCTGCTGCCGCCTTTTTGTCCATAACTAAAGCAGCTATAAAGCAGAATCTAGAATACCATGCCTGCGTAAAAGCTTTCTGGAGAAACTGAAAGGTACCCTTGTGTCCATAGTGCTGGGGTGGGCGTGCAGGGCCAGCAGGCCCCAAACTGTCTTTAAGAGCTAAGGCTCCCTTGGTATCTACTCTCCAGCAGTGGGGACTCCTGTCAGAGCACCTCTCCACCCCCACCTCTGGGCTCTTGGGCCATAGGGCTCCCCACCCAGGAAATATTTTCAAAGGCAAATGAGTGTGGTACCTGCACACCTGGCATCTTCTGAGAGTTTCCAGGAAACATGGTTTTTATTTTATTTTATTTTATTTTATTTTTTGCAGTTTTTGGCCAGGGCTGGGTTTGAACCCACCACCTCTGGCATATGGGGCCAGTGCCCTACTCCTTTGAGCCACAGGCACTGCCCGGAAACATGGTTTTTAATTATTAAGTTTGATTCTGGAGGAAATGCTGGCTTCTGCAGGGTGATGTGTAGATAGAAGGTCACTTGGACACAGCAGGCCGTGCCCACCCTGTACCGGGGATCCCCTTCAAGTCCCCCGTCAGTCACCCTGCCTCATACCTGGTTGTCTACCCACTGTTCTCCTTGTTCTCTTTCTTTGTGTCTTCCCTTGGCCTGGTCTCTGTGAGGCGCTCCCTCCCACTCAGTCCCCCTTTGGGAAGTTACCACACGAGGAGCACAGAGTGGTCACCATACAGCCTGGATCTGTCTACATCACGACCTGGTTGTGCATGTCCTGCTGTTTCCAATCCTTTACTGAGAGCTGTATATAGTCTGAGAGTTGTGGGGGGTTTTCCATCAGAGTCAGAGTCCTCAATAGCTGCTATCCTCTTTAACACTTTGGGGCTGGAATGAACCCCCCCTAAGCCCAGGGTCCAGGGTAAGAGGGGCCTGTGGCACCAATGCAGGATCACCACAAGCTTTGTTTTCCCTGTCCCCAGCACCTGGCCCGGTACGTGGAGCAGTATGTGGGGACTGAGGGCACATCTAGCTCACCCACTGAGGGCTTCCTCCTGAAACCCGTGTTCCTGCAGAGGTGAGAGGCCCCAAGGCTGATGCTCACTCATTTCCTCCCTATAGGCCAGGAACCCCCACACTGTCCTCCTGGAGGCTGGGTGCTGGTGCGTTCTCCCTTTGGGAACACTTCCTGAGCACCTGCTTTGTGCTAAGGTGTGGCCCTGTCCACCTGAGGCTTGGGATCTAGAGGGAGCAGAGCAGTAACCCCAGGGCAGTGAGGGGTATGATCTGGGGGGGATAGTCCCAGGCTGAGACCCCACCATGAGTCACTGGCTAGAGGGTGAATGCCCAGCCCTGGGCAGAAGCTGCCAGAGCTGCCAGGGTCAGGTCAGAGGTGGGTGGGAGCAGGCAGGCCAGGTGGGGACAGTAACTCTGAGATCAGTGTGGGCTGTTGGCTACTCTTCGCATCCCAGTGGTGTGTCCAAGGTGACACATCTTCCACTATTTCCGGGCCACGAGGGTTTCCAGCTCTGCAAACACAAGTCCTTCAGGCCTTCCCTTGCCCCTAGGAACCTCAAGAAGTTCCGCCGCCGGTGGCAGAGTGAGCAGGCCCGGGCCCTGCGTGGGGAGGCCCGGAGCTCCTGGAAGCGATTGGTGGGGGTGGAGAGTGCATGTGACGTGGACTGCCGCTTCAAGCTCAGCACGCACAAGATGGTGTTCATCGTCAACTCCGAGGACTATATGTATCGCCGTGGCACCCTCTGCCGTGCCAAGCAGGTGCCAGACTTCCCTCCATGTTCTGGGGCCCTGGACCTCCCGATGCCCCCAACCCCGCCTTGCATCCTGGGGCTCTGAGGGTGCCTGACCACCCTGTCGATGTCTGCTCCCCTCTCTATAGGTACAGCCGCTGGTGCTGCTCCGCCACCACCAGCACTTTGAGGAGTGGCACAGCCGCTGGCTAGAGGACAACGTGACGGTGGAGGCAGCCGGCCTGGTGCAGGACTGGCTGATGGGTGAAGAGGACGAGGACATGGTGCCCTGCAAGACGCTCTGTGAGACGGTGCACGTGCACGGCCTGCCCGTGACCCGCTACCGTGTGCAGTACAGCCGTCGCCCAGCCTCACCCTGACCCACCCGCACCTCAGAGGGCACCCACCTGCCCTGGCTTGAGTCCCGTTGAATGTGTTTTCATGAATAAGCTGAGGGGGCGTCTCCTGGCCCTGCTGCTGTGGGACAGCACTCCAGAGCAGGGCACCACCTCCCCTCAGTGCCTCAGCTTCTCATGGCCCTGTTGAGTGCCAAACCTGAGCCCCCACCTCCTAGGGGTTAGCGCCCACTACAGGGGCTCAGTGAATGCACTGGCCAAGGAACAAGCAACATTTGTGCACATGCCTTGGCCCCTCTGTCATGTGCCAAATCCCCAGCAGGCAGGCGGCACTACTGGTCCTGTGTTCATAGATGTCCTGGAAAAGTTGAAGGTGAAGAGCCTGTCAAGACACCCTTAGGGGAGGGGTCGGCATCTGAGAGACCCTGAGGAGGAAGGAGTCAGGTTCTGGGTGGACCTGAGTGAGTCAGAGAGCTGCCAGAAGTGTCAGCTGAGGTTTCAGGCATCAGCTCAGCCGAGCTGATGCTCAGGAGGCCCTCAATGACTTCGAAAGCAAGATGAGCCCTTTCAGCCACACCATCAGGGTCCCACTTTGAAGTGAAGGCCTAAGCAGGCAGGAGATGCCTTTGGAGGCTGCCCTTTGGATAAAAGAGATGCCAAACCCCATGTTGATCCAGTAGCTGAAGTCTAGGCCATGGGAGGAGGGGTCTGCTTGACCCATGTTCCTGCCCAGCTTGTATGGCTCCTGCCATAGGGTCCAGAGACTCAGTCATGTACCCAGGTGGATGTCCTAGAGAGAGGGATGTATGTGCACATGCACACACACATTTATTCCTTTACGCTCTTAGTGGTATAACTTCTGCAAACAGCCAGGTCCCGGGGCTTTTTGGGTGTGAGATCTCTCTTTTGTGGAACTCTGAATGCCACCCTGACACCCCTGTTCCTGCAGCTGCCCCCCAGGGAGCCAAGTGTCCTCCCTGCCATCCCAGGACCCACATAGCCAGTACAGCCTCTCTGTGGATCATTTTGTCCGTTTGTGAGGGGCTGATGCAACTATCCCATAAAGGCTTTCTATGCCAAGAACTCTAAGCAATTGGGACTATAGCTGCCCAAATCCCTCCCAC